AGCACGTATTTGACTCAGTTTTTGCATAAATTTACTCATTTTTGCGAAAGAAAGCTCTTTTATGAACATCCTTAGCCATCTTGGTTAGAATTGGAATCTGCAGCCTGGCAGTGAAATTTTGGGCGTTTGAAGTTGGTTAGAAGGGTGGCTGCACTTTTGGGCCCTAAGCCCTCCATGAAGCGATCTGTCCATACTCTCGCTATGTAGGTACTCTAGCAGGGACATCATAAGTCTAAAAAATGCCTCTTGCTTATTAGCCAAAGCACTGAAACTTTTCAGCGAAAACTTCAGTCTGAAATAGTGGGGACATGGGGGGGGGGGCGGTGGCGCGAGGCAGGTGAAACGCGATACGGAAGCGGGACTGGCGGAGATGTGGAGGCGAAGGGCTCCTGAGCAGCGGCTCCAGATCGGATCCTGGCTCTGCGTCTTTTATTACCCCGCGCGGGATATTTTTAGCGGCCCCGCGACCCCCGGCGCCGCGGGCTCCTCGGATCCCAAAAAAGAGGCCGATTCATGAAACCCAACAGCTGTCACAAATGCCCAACAACCGCAAATCATCCATCTCCCCGTCACGGAATCCCGCTCCACCGGGGAATCGCGGGTGCCCAGGAGGGAACATTCTCAGATGGGACGTCTGTGGGATCCATTGGCCGAACTTGCGAAAGCTAATGACCTGGTTACACGATCCAATTCCCGTCAATTTCCGATCAAATGGTGAATGGTGCGCACCATCTACCATCAAATTTCTGCGGCCTGCAAAAATTTGATGGTAGATGATGGAGCTGTGAGGCTAATGCTTCATCTGATTTCCACACAACCGTGCTTATTTCATGCTTATTTCAATCAACACACGGTTTTAATTAATTATACTCATCAATCCAGATAACTCTCGACCGCCATCTTGGTCATCATTTTGATCGGAATTTGACGGGAATTTGATCGGGTAACCAGGCCATAAGGTATTCTGCCGTGCTAAGGAAGAACGCCGTATGTAGGGCCCCTTTATACTGAGAGTCAAGACAATGTGAATCCATCTCTGATTGGTTCCCGTAATTTAGGCCTCCACGGTGTCACAAACGGGGATGAAGATTACATTTTCAACGATTGCAAAGATTATGATGTAGAATGGACCGAGGAATAACGGGTTCGACAAGGAACAAACGGGATGAGAGAAGGAACGGAAAAAGGAATTTGAGAATGAGCCGATCAAAGATTACGAAAAACTGTTAATTTGTGTAATCTTTGTTCCCGTTTGTGACACCACGAGGGGGGGGGGGGGGCNGGGGGGGGGGGGGGAGCTGCCTTGACTCTCAGTATATAGGGACTTTAAGCGTACGAACATTCGAGAGTCGCCAAATTTTCCTTGGTCAAACATGTATTTTTCACGACATTCGAGCACATTTTTCTTTGAAATTTTCAGATATTCCAGATTAAATTGCCTACGAAATCGTCTGAAAATTTTGAAAAAGAATATTCACAATTTTCCCAGTAAATTCAGTTTTTATCGAAGGAAACTTGGCAACGTCTGAGGGCTCATACGGGGTTCTTCCTTAGCACGGCAGTATTGCTGTTTCGTTAATTTGACAACAGAAAACAAGTGCCACCCTCCCATTGGTCAGGGACTTTCGGACTTTCGTAGTACTTCCTCTGCTCCTAGTTCTGGATCTAGGTTAATAGGTAAGACTACAAAACGTCGCTCCACTGGCGTAAGGGCGTATCTTGATATCAGTATGAACCCTGGAAAGAATGGGTGTATATGTAAAACGGGGCTCATTTCTCCTCTGATAACACTGATTCCTCTGCCTAGGTTTGTTTACATTCATTCAAAAGACCTCAATAAAAAGCTTAAAACTGATGAACCAATCAGAGAACGGCACAGACACTGGGAAAAAAAACACATTGGATCTAGAGTCCAGACTCTTGAAAACATTGACAAGAAAAAATACTCTTGATTCAATCGGATTTTTGCTTGAATCAAAACAAAATCCGCTTAAATTAAGAGGCTTGGTTCTTGATTTAAGCTAGATTCTGATTGAATCAAGAGTACTTTTTCTTGTCGATGTTTTTTTGAGTCTGGGCTCTAGACCAATGTGTTTTTTTTTTCCAGTGCATGGCAAAGACTCTCCAATATAAGTGCTCCTAAAATGACAAGCTTACAAGGGAGGAAACTTTGTCAATTCTCTCACAGTCTCAGCCTTCGCTTAACTTACTTCAGGTGGCTCCATTTTGAGTACCATGTCTATAGAGAGAGCATTGCAATATCTGTACGGATCTCTGCTCGGTATGTCATCATTAGGTCTCACAAGGGGCCTGTGAGGACAAGTGCAAAAGAACCGGAAGGGATTTGCATTATCAGGGGAGGAACGAGTGATACTAACAGGGGAAATATATCCTGGTCAATAATATTCATTTAAGTTTGCTGAAATCTCATTTTACAAGAGCTGGGCTAAGAACCCTCAGCAACACCTGATGGCGCTCACCACGTTCTGAATTTCCAACCTGGTAACAATGCGGAGTCTCTACATTAGTCTCTGTTTGATTAACCTGTGTATCGACGGGGTTTTACCCAAGTTTTCATCGCTCTAAATATCACAGAGAAGCAGTAATTCGTTAAAATAGATGCGCTTCAAAATCAAAAACGCACATAAAAACATTTTCCAACCCCCAAGAGCGCGGCGGTTTTTGGAAACTTCCCTGCTGGGAGTGGGGCAAGCCGGTAAGCGGTCTCATTAAATCCGACTGCTACGAGAGGATCGGTGCCCCTCGGGGCGTTTAACGAGTCTTGGCCTGGAGCGACTCTCCGACTTGCGGCGTCCCGACGCCCCGTCCTCAGGCGTAGAGCCGCGGCGGCGTCGCGCGAGGGGTGTGGTGGGGGTGGGGGCGCAGTGCCGCCGTCGGCAGGAAAGACGGATTTAACTCCTCTCAGCCCGTGTATCCAGAGTCTCGGCCTCCAGTCCATCGATGCCATCCTCATCCGCCGATTCCTCATTTGACCAGTTGCAATGATAAACATAACGAACAGCCGAAAACGTTTTTAAAATTAGGTACAATGATAATAGTATATTAATCAGCAACAGACTTCATGGTAGTAAATACCTAATCTATGATAGCATTCGTCATAATTATGGTAAATGCTGCCAGATGTAAAGGTCACAGTTGCCCAGAAGTATTATGATGTCGAAATTCAAGTAGAATTAAGGGTGGAATGGTAGAAGTTACCATAACTCCGGTACAAGTTACACTTTTATTTCTAGTGAAAACTTTTTTACTTCAAGAATAGTTTTTCCATCGATCAATTGCTCTCAGGACGAATGAGAGTGGCAAGAAAATTGCTGAAAATTGCTAAAATTTACCTCTTGTCTTGAAAAATCCTTCTGTCGGATGGACAAAACCCATGGAGACTCCCCTATAGCTACGCCTCTGCTTGAAAAAAAAACAAACAAACAAAAAAAACCAACCCCCCCCCCAAAAAAAAAAAGACAGATTTTGTAATTTGTGCTTAGCGTATAAGGTTCCAAAATTCGGAACTAAAAAAGCCCTCTTCTGAGTCACCTTCTTCATATGCTGAAAGTTAGGGGTTCTCTTACCCCATAAATAAATCTGGAAAAAAAATTATTAGAATCAGCGTGATGGCATCAAAAGTGTCAATTAATAATGCGACAGCTGGTTTGGGTCCTCTTAAATTCACGGCAATGGAAGCAACGTAGCCGGCAATCCTCCACCATACATCTATACCAGCACGAAGGATGTTATATGGCCTACTTCGAAAATTGAAGGCAAAGTTGCGAAGAACATTTCACAACATCCTTACCCCTTAACGTATCATGCTGATTCAGCCTGTCCTAATGTTTTAGTCAGAAAATGCCCCTGCATTTTACACTGCAGCACAAAAAAAAACACTATTAAAGCCCAGTCTTACAACGTTGCGCCAGGCTCCGGATGCCTCGCTCCCTCGTGAAATTTCATATTTTCAGTCGAATTCCAGCCACGCACTTCGCGTCTTCCCGTCCTCTCTCGCACTTTCCCCGCCTCGTGGCTGGACTGCGCCCGGAAAAAAAAGAGAAATAAGAAAAGCCTCGTATTACACGTCACAAACCACCGGCTGAATGAAATTTGTGTGGGCCACTCGGTTGTTGGCCAAATTTTAACTTACTACCACGAGCGTTTCCTGCGACTGAAAGTTCAAATCCACAGTGATTTTTTTTTCTTGAGGTGCTTTCCGGCTGATTCGCCGAATTCATCATTGCTCCTGGATAAATTGACAGTTCGTGAGTTTTCAGTGACTAAATCTCGTTTCAGCCCTCACCTGCCGTTTTTTAAAAATATTTATTCATTTGAGACGCCGGTGATTTCATGTGTAATATTTTGACCTGAAAAGTTCGTGTCTCGGGTGATGATTTGTTTTGATTGATACCTAGTGCGGTTCTTGTGATTGGATTCGTCCATGTGCGTTACCAATATCCGGAGAGGCGTGGGTCTTACTTTTAAAAAGGATTTTGAATCATAGTTCGGTATAGAAAATCGGATGACATTCTAGCAGAATTTCTATGCACCCTCGATAGAGAATCTTAAAGAAATGAAGGTATGTCTCTTTTCATGCCATTTTTTAATCACCTTTTACGCTTTGCTCTATTCCCTTTCATCCCCGCCATTCTCATGCGAAGATTATCGTTTGCTACGGAGCGTAAAATTGAAAATCTCTGAATAACATAAATTAATGTTGAGACGAGTTAAGTAAAAAGGAACCATGTTCAGGGAGGCTACGGGAGAGGGCAAGTGCTCCCCCTGTATTTTGCGTCTGACCTTTTTGTAAGATTTTGATTAATTTGCGAATTTATCCCTCCTTAATTTTGGCTAAAATGCCACCACCGTAAGAGAAGAATTGAGAGCTAAAGGGGGGGGGGGTAAATGACAATGAGAAACAAGTTGGAAAACTCTGGATGTGGGCATCTACGATTGAAATTATGCAAAGTTGGAAGGCGATTAAATTTTCGAGGCAATTTTAAGATCTACGGTTTAATTGACATTATAATATGAATAAATAAACGGAAAAATCAGGGCTCGGATGACTCATGGCCCGGCTACATGGTTGTGGCGGTGCGTGGGACAGACAGGAGCAACAAGTTCCATTAGCCCTATTAGCGTGACTCAAATTTTGACAGGAGCGATTTGGCGAGTGCCGCGCCGCGCAGTGGGCAACATTGAATCATTCTCGGCTCCCTGCAGTGCATATATTTCGTTAATATGGTATTAGACCATGTGCGGCTTCAGACAGAAGCAATGATCAAAGTTCAAAAAATTCAAATTTATCGCTGCCCTAGAGCTCATGAGTTTTTGACGTATGAACCAATATTTAATAATAGTAATAGCCTTTATTAAATTGTTTTATATACGACATTATGAAGCACTTACAAAAGACTATGGATACACCCGTTGGGGGATTGCAGACATTAAAATACCTTATCTTTTTAGCAATTTTTTTTCCTCCCCTTTTCTTTTTCTTTCTATTCCTTCTTTCTTACTTCTATTTTATGTAAATCCATTGTAATTATAACAATACACAAGAATACAAACACGTTTTATAACAATACTAAATAAATAATAAAAGATATAAAACTATGCTGGATATCTTTCCACTGCCTCAACCAATATTTACTTCCACGCTTCCATCAGAGTCAAATTGCTTGATTTGTTAAGATTACCGATAAATTTTGACTTTATGCATGCTTATTCACGGGAAAGGGCGCCTTAGAGAATATTTTAAACTTTTGACAGATATATATAATTTTGTACTAGAGTTTTGATGGTTCGGAGTTTGAGATTCGAACACCTTGCCTTGGTTTTCAGGGAAAACTATTTAGCGTCAATATAAGGCACAGAACTTAAAATTATTAGACCAAAATGTAATTATGCATCCTCTGTTGGCACAAAGTTAATCTAAACCACTCAAAGTTCTTCAAGAGGATGCTAAAAAGTTTTTTTTGTCAAGAATTTAAATTCCTATCTCCGACCCTCTTTAAAGAATCTACTTCATACTGCAAGGTCTCTTTCCATGAAGATGGTCACAATTTTTCACTCAGCTTGAAGATTAATCAGACTCTAAACGTTTATGAAGTGTCTAATTGAAGTTATCATTCTTTAGGGCAAGTCATCAATACGTTATTAATAATTTTCCAGCCTTTCAACCCTTTTACCTTCCCAAAGTCTTCATATTGTAACTTCCGAGCCGATCCAAAAAAAATTACCGCTAGAAAAAATGTGCAGTCCGTCGTGGGAGGACTGAACCCATATGCCCTTCCTTGACCACGACTTTGAGTTCTTCTACGAACCGTTTTGAAAATTAAAGTTATTTTTTCTGCCGGGATCTTGGCATGTTTTGTCTCACTGTGCCACAGGGTGTCTGTCCGTTCAACGACTGGCCATTCCCATGAGTGAATTCGCCGCAAATCCGAGCCTTAATTTGTTTTATCTATGCAATCAGTTTTGCCACCAGAATTATTGAAACAGCTAGTCTTTTATCACCTCTCATCACATTGACTCGCCGGCCGTTAAAAAGTTCACTCGGGCGTGTGTCGGATTTTTGCGCTCGCGGTCAGTCGTAATCAACCGGGATTTCGCCGAGTTTTTTCCACATTTTGTATCTACATGTAAGTTTCGTACGATTTCCGCAAAAAATGTTCCCTAAATATAGCTACTCGATAATGATCTAACGTTACGGGCTACGAAAGTGAAAGACCATGGACAGCTTAGACAAAAATTGATTAATCAGTTCTTTGAAGGGAATTAAAACCACGAACCACAGTATATAAAAAGTTCGTAAAGTTAATTACAGCTAAAGAAAAATTCTATGCAGAATGTGTGATTTATTTTTGCTAATTAACGTCTTTTGTAACGTTAGGGTTCGGGCTCGCACAAGAACTTAATAATCTAATAGCTCAATAAAGCTAACAGCTCAATTTTTAACCTAATACAGTTTTTAAAATTTAAAACGTCTTGTGTAATTTCCAAAATTTTTACGTATTTTATTTTGCTCTCGAATCTTCTCATTATTGACTCTTTTTCGAAGTATGAGCAATCTACTTTTGAATATCTAACGGTCCAAAAATCAACTGATATGGATCCAGTGACCTGATGTGTTTTTTTTACGTGCAAAATCAAGCAAAAATGACTTTGTGCCTCATTATCAACCTTCATAGATTTCGAAACACGTGAGTAATTCTTTGATCCATCGCGCCTGTGGCGATTGTCCAGTCGAAAAAACTTCATTTAAATCCATTGTAAATAACAGATTCCAGATTAAGTAGTATGCCTCGATAATTATAGATTATTGTTTTTCCTACATTTAAATTGACAAAACCTAGATTTGCCGACAGTTTTTGACGGGGGATCACAACTGTTTTCGGCATCAAGATACAGTGGCGATCCCTATAAGATAGCAACACTGTTTTTCCTCCGTTTAAATGTATGCAAAAAAATCGATTCTTAGTGAGTTAGCTTGCCTCACTTAAATCAGTATCTGTTACTGAAATGTTTTCAAGTGTAGGTTTCCACTACTGAATACGTCGATTACCTGCACTGAAATTTCTAATATGGCCCGTGAACGAAAGTTTTTATCTCTCTACAAAATGAGACCATCCATTGTGGAGCAATCTCAGAGAATACATTGAGGCACACTGAAAAAAGTGCTTAGCTCAAACATGATGATTCTTGAATTTGCCGCCAAGAAATTTTTTTAACTCGATTTTTTTAAAAAAAATTCGGCTGAATTTTTCTTGATACAAGAAAATTAATGCTTGGGTTAAGCAAAAAAGTAGTTTATATTAAGCAGCAAACTTCTTGATTTAAGACAAAATTCTTATTGGCGGCAAAAAGGTTCTTTTTTTTTATTCTGTGTACTTCCTCGAGAGCCCGGTTTCACCCTGCACGCTCCTCAGTTCCCTGAAAAATAGTCCTATACCACGTTTCCTGTTTTGTTACAGTCCGCAGAATCGCTAGATCTCCATCCCTCTTGTCTCTAAATGACAGCCACTCAAGACTTAAACCGTATTTTTAGAAGCTGTAGAGTCAATTATCCGACTGTTTAGGTTATAACCGATTCCCTCCTGTGAGGAGCCAAGTTAAATGAGACCGTGGCGTTCGGCAGGATCGAGCGAAGCCCGCTCACAGTGTTGTTTGAGGGTGAGGGTCTCGTCTCGACTCTCGAGTGATAATTCTATTTTTAATGAATTTTTGACATTCGGGAATTTCACTCACCTTCGGCCACGCGGAAGAACGGTCCCCACTTCCTCCTTTCTCAAACATGCCGCAAAATAAGTCGTTTGACCCGAAGATATCCTCATTAATTTTAAATTTGATTTATGGGTCATTTTTCACACTCGAATGCGAGCACTTAAGTTCATTATAGGGTAAGTTAAGAGATCTCAATTCTTGGTGACAGAAAAATTATACATATGGTAACGGTCTCCGTAATCTCTGATAAATATCGTCACCTTTCGGCCAAAGTACCACAAGCGCCATGCGAAGTTTGTTAGAACACAAGATGCATGTTTCGGAATTATGTCGGAACAAGAGAGTTTTTACTAAAAAGTTGTGGGAGAGCAGAAATGAACTAGAATTTTAAAGGGCCGAAAGATGTATGAAGTTGAATTTGGAAAATTACAGAATTTACAAAAGAATAGTCATACTTGTGCCAGAAGGGCTAGAGAGGGCACATCGTACAATTCGTACATGTACGGGTCAGATGGTAAAGGACCAATATTTTGGGGCAGCGCAAGCTTTTATAGACTTGCTGACGTCACAGGTGGTGAGACAACAAGTCTACACGCTATTGGCTGGCTATAATCAGTGGAGCTATCAGCTGCAAGTTCAGTAATAAAATTAATGGGCGATTGTAGGAGATGGCTGGGTGATAGAAGTAAAAAAGAGGAAAATGGACCAAATCCAGCCATTCCTAATGAGTTAGTGAATATGCATGAGAAAGAGCCATGCACAAAGTGGCCCATTTTTTGGCCTTCGAAATTGGGGTCGAAGTGAGGTTTTTTTCATCCTTAGGGTGACCCTTTACACATACTAAAATTTCAGATTGAGTATACGCACCGTTTTCGAGTTATGGGGGGGGGCAAAGTCCCCGATTTTCACCCATTTTTGCAGGTGTTTTAATGTCGAACTCCGGCTGTCACGAGGTACCAGATCTAGATATCGAAGCGCGGTTTGCGGTGATTTGTTCAGCTATTCCTGTAGTATTTTTCCACATCTTTTACAATGCCCCAATTGGTTTTTTGGGGGGCGGGGAGGGGGCTTTATTCATACTATCATGACCGTTAGCGCATCTTACTGACTTTACTTTGTTCTCTTCTCTCCACGCCGCGGTCACGATGGTATTTTCTGTTGGGGATTTTTCTTCTTCTTTACATTTTAC